GGTGATGGTGAGGATGACGATGACGATAACGATGACGATGACGACGATGACGATGATGATGATGGTCATGACGATCCTGATGATGATGATGATGATGATGATGATGATGATGATGATGATGACGATGACCATGACGATGAGGCTGAGGATGGTGCTGTTGTTGTTGATGATGATGATTGTTTCTTGGCGTGCTTTACACTATCAGTTTAGAGGGTCCTTTAATCCTGCATACTGTTATTTGCTGAGCCCGTCGGGTGTTCACTTGTAGAGGGTCCGTTTTTCGCGTACTGTTTCCTGTCACCAGCAAGCGAAGTTTGCCTCAAGGATACGAGGGACTCCGGCTGGCTTCCCGACTCTCCTGGAGCAGATGATCACGCGCTGGGCGTCGGACTCAGCAGGGTCGCCATATGCTTGGTGCTTTCTTCTGAGTTGAGCTGGTTGAGAGATGTGCAGCAGTGCTTGAGCCAAGATTTTCTTCCGCGGTGACGAGATGATGGTCCAGGGCTCCCCGGGAGACAGCCTTATGATGCTTGCCCGGCTTGTGGCACCTGGATCGGATCCCGGGCGGAGTGCCGCCTGATGCCAGGATTTCCTCTGGCTCCGTGGAAATTGTTCACGACGAGCAGGTCATCCGTGAACTAGGCCCGTCTGCCGCAGAAGAGTTTCTGTTCCATGATTTTAAACCGAAAGCCCTTTGTTGAGGAGGAGGGGATGTCCTCGGCGAGCTCGGTGCACTTGGCCAAAGCCTCAAAGCCCCCGTGACTTCATGGGCAGCTCGGATGTGTGCCAGCTCAGGAATTGCGCCGCTTCGAACAGCGACCGTGCGGTGTAAGGACTGTGAGGGTTTCGTGCCTGCCATCAACTCAAGATGACGCCTTGCAAGGACATCTGCGATGTCTATGTCCTGGCGAAGGTGGAGCTTGCCTGCCGTTGTTTGCTGTCTTGTCTTTGCCAGAGACGTGAATAGAAGAGCTCGAAAAATGCGACGAGAAGGCGGCGCTGACGCGGGCGTGTGCGTCCTAGAGGTTCAAGCATGTCAGCCAGCGAGTGCCGTGTTGGAGTTGGAGTTCGTTCACCGAGTACTGTACCGATTTTACCAAGATTGAGCCTGCACCCTGAGCAGATGGCCATGCGCCAAGTCGTGCCTGATTATGCGAGCGGGAGCTGCTCTCTATGCGCAGAGCTCCTGGTCAAGGACCCCTTGCGGAAACTTGCCACCGCGCGCATGCGGAGGCGCTGAGGGAGACGGGCCACGGAAGATGCGCGAAGCCAGAAGCGTCCTCTTTGCCAGTGACGTCGAGCGCGCATCGGAGAAGCATGTCCTGCTCAACTGCCCGCTCTTCCAGCAAAGCAGCAGGCCGAGCGTTGACTCGACGCTTGGAGAGGCCCATGAGTCGGCCATAAGCGTTGTCCGCAGGAAATTTTTGGATCGCATCTCAGAGCACCTGGAGGCCACCGGTCGCCGGCCTGGAATAGCAATCAGTTTCTTTGCAGTGTCTGACCACAGGACCGCCTCTTCATGGAGGGTGAGGATCTCTGCATTGAGGGAGAGAAGGGTGACACCATGTTCGTCCTCATCCAGGCATGCGAAGTTATGGAGTGTGTTTGAAAACGTTCCATTTCGGCATCTGGCCAGGGCACCTTGAACGTGTTTGTGAGAATAGATGTCATTCCCTCGGCATACTTACGAAACACTGCGTGCAGAAACTGTCATCTGCTTTGCTGGGGACACCGAGGGAAAGAACAAGAAGGTGAACGAGCTGCACAAGGGGAGTGTGATCGGCGAGATCGCAGTGCTTCAGCTGGAAAAGAGTATACAAACTGCAAGAAGCCGGGTTTGAGCCGGGGTATGTCAGCAAGTCCGCACGTGCCGGAGGTGTTGGGGCTGGCAAACCATCGAACTGCCACCCTCACAGCAAAGACGGTGGAGCCCTCGGTACACCAGTCTTCGCCTTCGGGCCAGCGGGACCCTGGCTGTAGTCTCTTGGTGGTTGAGGTTTGCTTGGTTCAGATCCTCCATCGGCCCATCCTGATGAAGTCTCTCTGCCTCTTTATCTTGAAGCTTTGTTTAATTTTTTTGGGGGGGAAGTGTTGCAAATCGGGCCGGCCCGGCCAGGTATCTCAACGAGTTCCCTCGTGAAATCGCGACCTTCCAGGAGGCTGCAATCAGCACCGCATTTGCCGGCAGTTACCCGGGGGATGGTGGGCTGTTTCGTTTTGTTTCGTCAACCGCTCATGGTAGGTTGGGGCGTCACGGCTTACGAAGAGCGGTATCAGCAAGAACACCCTCTTCCCGCAGCAGGCGCGAGGTTGCAGGAGCCAGAGCCTTCCAGTGCCAGCTGAGATCCGCTGAGGTCCTCTTCCGATACTGTGGCTCGGCCTTCGTCGAGGAGGTCTGCAGGGTGCCTACGGAAACCGAAACCTCGAGCCTGCGAGAGAGAGTGGAAGCGAAACACCCAGCGGTCTTGAACGGTTGCGGCAGTTCCGCCAGGCTCAGAGATATACTTCATTGTACTCGTACTTCCCAACCGCCCGGTCCAAGGCAAAACGTTGCAGCGAAAGATTTGCTTCCCTGGGCAGGCACGGAACAGGAAAGAAGCTGCATGAGACGGTGCCTAATAAACGAATGTAGCCCTCTAGCCTCAGGTCGTATGACTGGGTTCGTCTTTACAGTACGTGCGTGTGTGACTGATATGTTTGCCTGTGTGCAATCGAAACACTTGACAGATCATCGTGGAAGAGGGCGCTGAAAGCCAGGACTCCATGCAGATCGCTTTGCGCGTTGATTGTGCAGCCTGTTTTGTCTCCCTTATCCTTCGAGGAAATGTATGCCATCGCGCAGGGACATGCATCGGCAGCTCGCAACGAAAATGGAGTGTGAAGCAGTGTCCGGAAGACTCGTGTGTGTTGGCCGGCAACAAGTAAAATCCAGGTGGAGAAAGGCGGCACGAAGCTGGGAGAACTTCAGCAAGGATCCGCATTTGGTGAGAGGGCTGTCCTTGACATGATGTCGATCCAGTTGGTGAGCATCAAGGCGGGGCTGAAACGAAACAAGATGCAACAGAAGATGATGCAAGACGATACTATACAGGTTAATACGCATCTATCACGACCCACCCGATGTTAATGCTTTTGTGGCCATGAAGGGCGCAGCAATACCACCGTCCCTTGCAGAGAAACAGTGGGCCTTCAAGCACATGTGCCTCGCTGAGCCGATTGTGCTCCAAACCCTCCAAATCCATGAATTGAAAGCCGCACATTGCCTCGCATCCGGCAGGCCGAGAGCATGTGTGATTTGCAGTACCTGAACTGCCACGAAGCTTGGACAAGCTTTGCATAGGGCGTAGGGCTGGTGTGAAAATTTGAAAAAGATTTAAGCCAGTACTGTGCAGCTCGCTATGCCAGTGGCTCGCAGTGACAGTGCGTGTACATCCGCAGAACCATGTACCTATCCGTAGACACCCTCAATATCGATAGACAGCTCTGTCTCGTTGTCCCTGTTTGTCTCGATATGTCCAGGCTAGAACCATTTGCATCCACATCTGTACCCACACCTGTGTAATGCGCATTAGTAAAATATCTCGCGCCAATCATACATAGTATGCGTAGTATACACTCCAGATCGGTTTGTTGCTGTATTCCAATGCTTCTGTGCAAGGGCAACTCCTCGTCTCGTATCACGTTTTTTGGAGACCGGCTGAGTAGGGCTGTAATACCTCCGCAAAACAGATGAAGGAAGCAGTTTCCTCACGGACCAAGGACCTGGAAACGATGCTTGCGAACTTCACTGGGGAGAAGAAGTGCCTCGGCTGGGTGGGGACGCACCGACTCATCCGAGTGCGGGGTCCAAGTCGGCTCAACTGTTGCCTGAGGCACCTCTTGCAAGCGGTTGCAGGCATGATGCGAGAGGCTGGTGCACGCATCTTCACACACATTCGGCACAGGCTCAGTGCTTGAGTGATTTGAGGACATCGCCGAAATCACAGACCAGGAGATCTTGCAAGAACTTCCACTTCTTGCATTCTTGGGAGACGACTTCATCCAGCATCTGCTGGCGTCTCTGCAGGCAGTTAGCTTTTTCTACTCAAAGTGCGCCTTTAGCAGAGGCCCTGCGTGTCAGGTGGGTGCCGCAAGGAGAGACGAGCCTGTGAAGAGCAAGTCAGACGAGCTGGTCGTTGTCATTCTTCAAGGCCCCTTTCGATCCATCCGTAGGCTTCCTCTGGATGGAAGCTGCCAGGTCGCGCAGCTGTTCAGCTGGATGGCAGCACACTTCGTGAGCTATCCGAAGGCCAAACAGAGGGGATCACGGGATGCTGCCATGCATTGCCATGCTGGTTTGCTCCAGTCACCGCGCAGGCGAAAGCTTTGGGGAGGCCGCCTGCCTTGGGCTGGTGGTGCCCTCGAAAGGCGACCTGGCCGTGGAGCTCTTCGTGGCCGGGGCACCCGGAGCGGAGCGGAGCTTGCAAGGGCCGCCACTGGAACTCCAAGTCCTTTCCCTGTCCGAGGTGGGGCAGAGCTGCTTGTACCTTTACGCCACAAAGGCGCGGGGGGGGTCTGATGGCTCGTTTGTGAGGGCCGTGTTTCAAGCGTCGAGGTGGTGTTCAGAGGGTTGCGGGGTGCAGACTCGAGGTATGTTGTGACGGTTTTGCCCAGGACGCGGTGCAGCGAGCCCTTCAGCAAGAAGGCCTTCATGGTGTGGGGATTCCGGGAGTGCAGACGAGACTGTACCAAAAGAATCGGAAGAGCCCAATGCAAACACCAGCTCGTCGGGGCATTGTGCAACACTACGTTGCCAATGTCGAGCAATTGCATAGAAACGTGTGCGAGGAGTTTCTTGACTGATGTGCCTCCGATGCTTCCAGGAGCCCACATGCGAGACAAGCTTCGCGGTGCCGCTCACGGAGGGTTTCTTGTGTCAGTCGAACCAAGAAGCTTGCATGAAGTTGGAGCCCGGTGTATCCCGGCTGTGGCAGCGCCTGCAGAGTTTGCACCCCAAGGCAGCGTCACTGTGGCTCCGGGCTTCGCGAGGGTGGCCGCGCTCTGAGCGCTGATTGAGCTGACGGCAAGTAGAGGTAGACACAGGCACAGGCATGCAGCAACCTCCAGCCGCGCTCCGCTGCCCAGCCTCTACAGGTTCTCGAAAACAGCCCTTTGAGCTTCCTGCAGATGACGCAGGCCGCCGGCCGCCGGACTTGAGAGATGGCCGCGTGCACCTCATGCGACTCTGTGAGGATCAAATGACTCAGCTCTACGACAGGCAGCCTGGGAGAGTTCTGCAGCTCCAAGAGCAGTAGACTTCTGGACGTACAGAATGGTGTGTGGTGACCGTGTGAGAAGGTGCGAGGAGGGCTTCTGCCTCGAGACCCAGGCACCAAGTCGAGTGTTGGAGACACGTTTTGATCAGCAAAAGAATGCAAAAGATTTCTTCACCTCCAGCATCTGCAATCTTTCATCAGATATGACAAGCATCAGCATCAGAAGGGTCAGAGGGCAAATCTATCTGTGGCGCGGCGGCGCAGGACCTCCTCTCCGCTCGGCACCGGCACAAGACCCTGCTCTTCCTCCTTGCAGGACGAAGCGACGAAGCCCCGTTTCGGCTGTGTGTTTCTGTCGACCCCCGCCGCTCTTTTTGCAGGAAAAGCCAGCTGCCAAGTTGGCTAACAGCTTAGAGGGCCGAGCATCTCGGAGTGGAAATTTCTCGTCATCGGTTGCTTGCGAAAGGTGACGAAGAGCTCGTCCTCGAGCTGGGATCCCCAGACTCTCAGAAAGAGGGCGCAGGGCTTGTTGGCCACTCCCTGTCTTGGCCTAGACCCGGCAGCTCTCTCGTGCAGACGCCGGGGGCCCTGGCCAAGAGCAAAGGCTTTCGTTGCTTGGGCTGTGCTTCGGTACAGGAGCAAAGATGGTCCGGGGCGTGGGCCCGTCTTTCCGGCCTACGTTGTTGGACCTTCGAAGTAGCATGCAATCATCATCCATCCTTGAGATTGCCCTGCCTGGGGATATTTGCCAGGTGACTGCCATCGTGCACTGCAAGGCTGGGAGCCGAGAACACGTCTCATTTCGGTGAGTGGCTATGCAAGTTCTGCACCTGCAGTACCTCCTGCTCAACAAGCGCGTGCTGCTGTCCGTCCTGAAGGCCCAGCCCGAGGAGGACCAAGCCCAGCAGTGCGGCCTTCCGGGATCTTTTTCCGCGCTTGTTTGCATGCGGCACGTGGCGAGTTCTGGGCTCAAGCCTAGCTCAACAACATGGGTGATGCCGACGGTGAGACGAGGCACAGTGGTGCCAGGGGGCAGTTTTCAAGGTTTTCTTGAATATGGAGTACAAGATGCGTCTTGTGTCGTGGAAGGCATGCCAGCCGCAGTGCAAGCTGCGAAGAGGCACGGGGCTCGGCCCATCCATGCGTTCTTAGACCCGAGCCGAAGAACGTGCGAGCCGGTAGAAGAGCGGGTGGGAGGCTGCCGAGAACGGCCGTGGCGGAGGCGGAGGAGGCCGGGGTAGAGATCAGATTGGAATTATGCGAGGATGAAAAGCTCAGAGCCGAAGGCCGCGAGGGTCGCGACGGCCGCGAGGGCCGTGACGGGCGCGGAGGGGAGCAAGGCAAGCTCTTCATCGGACAGCTGCCCGGCCGCAGACACGGTTTCGGTTGGGTCTAAAGAGTCTAAAGCTGGAGCTGTTGTGATTGAAGTGCCAGGCTTTCCTTCGAGGCGGAAGAAGGCTGGGAAAAGTCGATCAGTTACCTGCACAAGGAGAAGTTTCGCTGTCAATTCCGACTTACACCATTGACCGTTGGGGTGGCACTTCCTACTACATTACTTTTGCAACAAGCACTTCACTTCGCTCGTCAGGCGACATCCAGGAAAAGTTTGGGAGATACGGACAGATTTTGAATGCTCGCAGCTTAGCCAGAAGCTGTCCAGAGCTGCGAGAGCACCCTCATGTCGCTGTGTGTACTGCAGGTCCAAATCATCAAGGATAATGCGACGGGGAAGTCCAAAGGTTATGGATGCTCGGCGGCATATGTTTCATCCTGCTACGCATGTAACATTATCTCTGTACCTACTTCTGCTCAGGCTTCATCAAGTTCGCAGATCCTGCAGATGCCGAGAAGGTGCTGAGGCCAGCTGTGGGCCTTTCGTCTTTTTCGTTACCTGCTGTGAGTGGGTAGTGCAGGACGATGGATGGCGCTGACATTTGCGGGCGCCGATGTCGCCCACTTACATCTACGTTCAGGGTGTAGCAGTGTAGCAGTGCTTGCACATGATCGAGTGCTGCAAGGCAAGTTGGACCGTGCAGGCGGCGGCAAGTCGCATGGTGGGGGGCAAAACATGCCTGATGCCCAGTGTACAGTGCAGTTTAGGTGGTTAATTGGGTTCATGCATCATAGCACTGGACACGTGCTGGAGCCGATCCATCAGCTTGTGGATGTTGCTTTCTCGTCCGGTTCAGGTCCCGTTACGAGCGAGACGACCGCCGTGGAGGGCGCGGCCGAGATGGTGGGATGCCAATCCGCAGAAAGAAGAACTCGTGCTCCCCCGCGGATACCTTTGCTTGCAATACGCAAAGTGTGTCGTGTCAGTGGGCCCCATAGACCTTGCAGACGGCAGAGTTCAGACCAGGTGCCGGACTGGACGAAAGGCTAAAGCCCAGGCTTACGCCGAGGGAGGGACTCGTGGGGAGCGCTCAGGAAGGCCGCCTCCGAGCCGGAGAAGCTCTTCATCGGGAAGCCGCTTGGGCCGGCACTGGGACACCAGTTAGGGCACTTGGGGGCACTTGAGGGCCCCTGCGGTGAGGTTGAGCCTGGATGCGACAGAGGACCGTCCCTTAAAGGGGACTCTTGCAGTTGACTCTTCTTCGCGAATCCTACCGCCTTTTCTTGGAGGAGGACGTGCAGGATGCCTTCCGGAGGCTCTGTGATGTGAAGGTTCAGATCATCAAGGATCGCGACACTGGCGAAGCGCGCGGCTTTGGATTCATCACCTTTCCGGACTCTTCCAAAGCGGAGGAGGCGCTTCACCGGCAGCGTCAGCATTTTCTTCCCATAATCTCTGGTAGATCAACGGTCTCTTCGAATCTTCGACCTCACTCAGCCACTCCAGCATTGCTGCGGTTCGCCAGCTGGCATGCAGAGCCGCTTGCTACATTGCAGGAGTCTTCCTCAACTCCTCCGCTTGAATGCGCTTGATGCACTTGAGCTCTTGCATTTTGCGCTTGGGGCTTTTGCTTCATCGTGCACCGGTCCGGAAGCATGATAGCACAAGACACGAAGGGTTTCTGAGATCGGCACAGGCTCGCCCACATCTTTGCCTAGCTGGACCCTTGTTTTGTTTCTTTTCCATGTGTTCTAGGGTGCTTCTTGCTGTGCCCTCCTTGACAGGTCTTCAGCTTTTTCGCATCACTGTCCTAGCACCCGCATGACCGTTGCTAGTTGCCACTCGTGGTGCAACGATTTGGTGCTGGAGACGACTTCCAGAGCTCTCGCAGCCTACAGCGCACGATTCGTAGCCAGGCAGTGACATGATCGAGGCCAAAACTGACTCCTGGTGCTCCCGACGTGTTCGATCGCAGATCCCCTGACGAGGCACTTCGAAGTCTTCAGGGCGCTGAGGTCGCCGGGCAGCCCTGCAGACTCGAGCGGCCCGGGCAAAAGCGTGGGCCAAGGCACGTGGGATCACACGCTCCAGAGTGCGAGTGCTTTTGCCAAGCTGAGCCTGTACAGCCTTGAGAGTGCTTTTTGCCTCGCCACTGCTCTCCCTGAGGGATGGCTCGCCCAGTCGCTCACAAGGCCGTCACCGAGACCACGCTCGGGCAAGGTCACGGCAGCCTGGAAGAACGAGACCCTAAGAGGACCACGTTGATTTCGAGTGCACTACCCATCCTGGAGAAGGGGTTAAGTGAAACTGTCTCTGAGAGCCTGTTGCGCCCCGATTTCAGCCCATGCGCCGCCACGTCCTTCAAGGTCTCGAGGAGGCAGAGGCCAAGGCCGCGAGGACTGGGACGGCAGAGGCGACGACCGGAGGCGGGGCCTCAGAAAGCAAGCGCTAAAGAAGCTCCCAGTTCAAGGTCAGCCGCCGCTGTTCTAGTGACCGCGCGAAAACGTGTCAAGGGTTGAGGCTTCTCCCATCGCATAGCCCGAAGCAAATCAACTCAAATGCCTCGGTGGGCGAGTCTGGAGCACCTCCCGGCATGGCTCTTGGAAAGATGACGGTGCAAGTGCAGAGCCTTGGAGTTCTTGGATGCTGCTGTCCCTCGGGTGGATTTCGGCTGGTGCAAAGCCTCTAAGCAGCCAGAAGTCTCCGCGAGGGGACAGCGAGGAGCAACACATTTTCAGCAAACCTCGCCGACACCTCGCCGACGAGTTGCAAGGTGAGGGTCAGTGTCGACATCGACTTGGTTAGGTTCCATAACTGCTCTGGCGGCAACCCAGCCTAGCTTTCAAGTCCGACTGCTTCGGTTTTTTGATATAAGTCCCGGGGCTGATGGATGCATGCAAGGCTCTCGACTGCAGCCAGACAGCCAGACAGCTCATGCAATTTTGGCATATTTGCATTGCTCAGCAAAGTGGCGCCAGCAGCCGGCATCATCGCGTGGAAGTGGCTCATCAGATGCACTTCGTCGGATGGATGGGCAGCAAAGTTGCCGTGCTTCCAGTTGCAGACTCTCCGGCTCCTGCTAGAGCATCCGAAAAACCAGAATCGACGCATCTCAGCACCTGGTTCCAACGTAAAGTCGGTTGCCGACATGCCACGACCCTGGTGTACCCTGAGATCATTAGCGAACTCTTGGCTCTGCCGGCTCTCCCTGAGAGGCATGGCCGACGGCGTGAGCGTGATGCTTTCGAAGCCCGAGGGCCTCGGGACCGAGAGCGTCGCCGCGCTCTTAGGCGAGACGAGAATTTCGACCCCTTCTCTCGGCTCTCTTCTCCCTCCTCTCAGGTGACCGCGGGGAGCGAGAGCGGGGAGGAGACCGAGAACGGGACCGGCCCGAGCGCGGCGAGCGCGGCGAGCGCGGCGAGCGCGGGCGCCGGGAGCGCGACCGACCCCACCGAGGCTCGGAGGATCGGATTGTGGAGCTACCGGAAGGGTTTCAGAATCCGGGTAAATGCTTTGGAAGGTGCAGATCTCCGGATGTTTGTAATTCGAGGGGGTGCGGTGCCGATTGAATGAAATTGAGCTCTAACTTCCTCGCTAAAGCGGCTAAAGCGTAATCGCAGATCCGTCGAACTTCTAACCTCGCCCCGAAAAGGATTCCAGTCGCTACAGGTGAGTCGCAAGACTCGCGGGCGGCCGACCGGGAGCCACGCCGTGGCGAACGCCAGCGCTCTCGCACACCGGATGGGCTGCCCAGGAAGGGGACTCAATTGAAAGGCTTCGGCTCTTGCAACACTCGTGTCCCCTAACTTTTGCTGTGAGACTTTGGCCTGTATGGGGCATGTCATGGGTGGTCATAAAGAGGGCTAGTAAAGAAAGAGGCAAGAGGTAAGCAGACGGTGTACCGGTGTACCGGCCTCAACTGTCAGGAAAAGCGAGGCCATCAATGCCGCACGTGTTGCATACGAGGAGACTTCCGTTTTGATTCAGACTTGACATGGCCCGAGTATACAGATACGTCCTCCAAGTAGGACGTGCTGATACACTGCAGGAGACAAGCCGCCGTTTGCAAATGGCGCAGACGGAGGCAGACTCAGCAGAGGCGCGCTTGGTTGCATTGGGCCGTTGCTCAAGCAGAAACTCTTGCAAGATTCAAGATGATTCAAGATTTTGGCCAGGCAGCGTACAAGAAGATGCAAAAAGCAGCTGATCACGCTGTCGACCGCAAGGCGTCGTACGTCGCAAGCGGGGAGTCGGAGATTGTGTCGGAGGCCAGAGGTTCCTGAGAGCCGGGAACCGAGGTGGCGGAGGAGAGCAGCCACATCAAGAAAGATCTAGAGCTGAAGCTGGGCTCGACACTCAGAGCAGGTCTGAGCAGGCGCTGTCGAGATACTGCAGTCAGCATAGACAAAGACCCAAAAGACCAGGCTTCTTCCTTTGCTGTGGCACGGTCTGTAAGGTGCCATGAAAGCGGGGTCGAAGAACGCCCTGGCGCTGGCCCTGGACGATGCCGAGCTGCAGCTGCGCCAGGAGTTGGCGGACAAGATCTCGCAGATGAAGAAGGCCAAAAGCGGCACGCAGCGGCGCGCGAGAGCGCACTCTCCTAACTCCAGAGTTTGAAGCCCTAGAATCTGCCAAAGCCTTCCGATTTCTGCGAAGGAGTACCAGAAAAAAGCCCGGTTCCCAGCAGCTAGTTCCTGGCTTTTGCGCGGTCGGGTTTCGGGCGCGAAGAGTTAGAGGCTTACATCTTTGGGAGCAGATTCTTGGGCTTGAAGCCCGTTTTACTTAGAATGGAATCCGAACAGAATATCGGTTAGTGTTTCGGAAGTTCAAGCAGCTGGTGGGTCTGGAAGTTTAGGGTTAAGAGGCTTCACAACCCCGAACCACAAGGTTGAAGACGAGCATGGCCGGATCCGACGGCAGCATGCGGAGGAGGCGGAGGATGCGGAAGCGAAGGTGCCGGGCAATCGCACTTGAAGGGTTCATGGTTTCAGCGTGTTCAGGGTTAGGGTTTTAGGAGTGAGCGGCTTTGTGGTTTGACTTGAGTCATTGAGGCTTCCGATGGTTTTGGAGTTGTTAACGAACACCCCTGAAGGTGCAAGAGGAAGCTGAAGACAGAATCAAGGCGCCCAGAAGCACGCCTCAGGGGTGCGGTCGCTACTCGCTACTCCTGAGTCCGAAGAATCGGATTCACTTCTGCGTGCTTAAATTGCAAGTCCTGAAAAGCGGGCTGAGACCTAAGACAGCTTCGATTCGAGTGAGCAACACCGTGCACCCTTTCAAATTCAAGACCGAAGGAGCTTCGCAGAAAAGCGGAAGAGGAGGAGAATCCCTGGGAGTGGCGAGAGGCTCGCGACAAGGCACCCAGCTGTTTCGGTTTCGGGGCCACTGCGGCAGCAAGCTTGTGTTTTTGCTGCCAATGTCATTTGCACAGCCTGCAAGGCTGTCGAAGCCTTGCAGAAGGAGGAGGCGCGAATTGCGAAACTGCAGCAGTGGGCTCCAAGCAAAAAGGGCCCGCCCAGAGTCGTTCCTTGGCAGGAGAAGCTGGACTCGGCCAAGCGACGATTGGAGACTCTGACCGGTGGGCCAGTAAAGGACTACAAGGGTCTGTTCTGTTCTGTTCCATGGGTTGCAGTGATGTTCAGTGCCTTCGAGAGTCCGACAGCTCCAAACTCGGTGCAGAAGGATCGTCGCTCTCGATCTCTGTTGCCCAGAGATCGAGAGAAGCGAAAACGAGTTCCCCCGCCTCCACCGCAGGCACCGTGTCGGCTTTCTGACAGATTTCAGTTGCCTCGTCTGTCTGAACGTTTGGATGACATGGCCAGCGTGATTTCCTTGGCCTATGTTGCTGGCAAGTAACTCTGCTCTGTTCACAATCACCAGCCACGAGCTCCGCCTGGAGAGTTGGCAGGCGCGAGGTCGCGACTGAGATCGGCCAGCGCGGCCGTCCAATCATTCTGGAAACGCGCAGGCGCGAGGGGCCGGGCGTCGTTCGAAAGCAGAGGGCTTCTGTGGACCTCTGGATGACTTTCGAGTTGTTCGCTGGGCTGGGCCAGGTCTCCATCTGGGCAGGGCGCGCTGGCAGCTTTCGCATTCGGATGGAGTGTCTGTTGCAAAAAGAAACTCCGCAGTGCCCCTCGGCTGTGGGTGCCAAGGTGTGTGTTGACATGTGTTTGTTGACTCCTCATGCTTCACGGAAAGCCTCAGAACAGCAGGAGCGGCAGCGGCTGCTGCAACGATGGGAGGCGATGCCCGGCCAGGTGCGGAGTGCGCAATTGCGAAGGGTCTGGTTCGAGCAGGGAACCGATGCAAGTAGGAGATTCTTGATGGATGAGCTATGATGAGCTTAATGGCGGCTCAAGTCGCTCCTGAGTACAGAAGCATGAAGAGTCCGAGCAGTTGCAGTTTGTCCAGCCCGTTCTGAACAGGTTAGAGGGCGACAGGTGAAGGTTCGTGGGGCTCCGGCAGCTGTAGCGCAGCTCGGGTCGGCATTCGGCATGGCTCCTTCCACTCCTTCGCGCTGGCCGTGGGCGTTGGAGGCTCCGAGAAGTCGGAGAAGTCGGAGGCTGCGGCCGAGAGGCCGGTGCTTGGGTGGTGGGCTCCTTAGATGTGGTCTACGCGGCTGCTTCGGCCGCTGTGGCCACTCTGGCCGCTGGCGATGTCTGAATACGGTCCCCCAGGGGATCCGACGTGCTGGCTGGGCAACATCAATTTTGAGACATGCTGCCTCCCTCCGCCGAAAGGAAACGACCATTGCTGGGAAGGCGGCTTCACCTACGAGCGCTGTTGCCGAAGAAACCCGAACGAGCCGGTGGACATCAACAAAGTGGCAGACATCTCTGAGCTTGGGGGCTGTGAGTTGAACATCTTCCAGGAGTTCAAGGAGCGTGCAGGTGGGATTGTTTTCTTGTGCTCCCGGATCCTGCGCACGCAGAGCCCGTGCAGGTGCTTGGTACCGCGCTTACGTGCCAAACTTGGTGCTCTTCCAAGAATTTGGTTACATCTCTCGCCGGTTTGATTCTATGTACAGGAGCCAGCAAGTAGTTTAGCATCTTCAAGTATTTGTCGACTGGTTGCTAGAATCTTATCAACACTGCAGGAGCTGCGCACCTGCCGCTCGCGTCTCAGCTGCTTGCGAGCTGCACCCATGTAACACAAAAGCGAGACCTTTGCAAAGAGTGCTTTCGCGTCACTTCGCCTTGCAACGCTCGTTGCTGGCCAAGGCCCTCACTGCCCTGCTACTAAAGCTGGAGTCCATCTATTTCGAGGAGGACAGGAATCCGATGGTGTCAGGGCATCAAGTTAGAGAGTTTGGTGTGTCGCGGTTTCCAGTTCCAGATAGCTCCAAGTTTTGCAGCTGATCCTGCGGGAAAAGGAGTCCATCTGGGCGCCGCTCTACGCACATTATGCGGAGCAGCACCACCAGGCCCGAGTCTGTCTCATAAGCACTGAACGTCCCCAGTCGGGCCGCTGTTAAATGAAATGGATACGAAGAGCAGATACCGGGAAAGGCCGTGGCCAGCGGTGACTTGTTGCGACTCGGCTGCAAACATGCTGCTGCCTCATCAAGGCCTCAGTGAGATGTAAGCGATGGGCGTAGGGGTTTCGATGTCTTGCTCGGCTCAAGCTGAACTGTCAAGACATGGCCGAGATGCTCACAAACTTGTCTAAATCAGATGCTTGTCGGCCGACTGAACGAGCGACGCAAAGAGAAAAGCATGGAAGGGCATGCAACTTTTGATCCGAATATCGATACGAGACTTTTGCGGACCGCCCGCAACAGCCTTACCGGCCGCCATGCAGGGCCAGTTGCCATGGAGAGCATCCGAGCCGGTCCAGGCTCCGCACGCCTTGCCGAGTACGCGGTCGCGGCAGGTCAGTTTCTTAGCCCTTCTTGTCAGCCACGACCGCACCCTTTGCAAACGATTTGGGATCTGGACAACAGCAGAAGGCTAGAAACCGTGAGCTAAATCCGGTCAAGGCCGTCCAGGCCCCGCCATGCACACGGGCAGCATCCGGACTTGCATGCACCTTATTGGGAGGCCGGGTCACGACTGAAGCTCTCGCATCCGAACCGGCTCGGATTGACTGCCGTGCTTGGAGGCTTCTACCTGACGAAGAAGCACTGCCCCAAGACGAGAAGTCTGAGAAACGGCCGGAGCCACGTGCTGTTGGCGGCAAGCAGTGATGTCCAGGACATTGGTGCTTGCCAAGACTTGCTTATCGTCGTGGGGTGCTACCGATGCAAGGTGGTAGGTGGCATGGTGAACTGGACGCACGCATCCGGTGTCCGTGCAAATGCAGTTCTTGCAGCGGTTGCGAGATGCATGCAGCTTTGATGACCAGGAGATCGCAGACGAGGATGTGGAGCTCTTGCGGCAAGTCTTGCCTGAAGTCAAGGAGCTGGTGGTGCTGCAGAAGAGCAACATGGACTTGATCCTCAAGCTGGCAAGGACCATGGTCCCCGTCCAGGCATCCAAAGGGGATGTGCTGGCACAGGAGGGCCAGCCAGACAGCTGCATGCTCGTCGTGGCGGAGGCTACATGTTTTGGAAACATTCGGCCTGCCTGCAGTGCTTGAAGTAGGCAGGGGATCCATGATCCGACAGCTGCTTAGGCACAACCTTTCGTCGCATGGAACCCTGACAGGGTGACGTTTTGCTGGAGCGGGCAGAGCAATCCAAAGGCAAAGCGAGCCGTGGAAGCTACTTTGGAGCCGAGTGCCTCTTGGGAAACAGCCCGCACCGAACTTCTGCGGTTGCAGCAAGCGACTGCCGCTTGCTGCGATTGGACCGCACCAGCTTTGACGCTGTGGTGCTCTCTCAGAGAGACGAAGATGAGCTGGACGAAGAGGATGAGGATGACGAAGACGAGGATGGGGCGACCTGCCTGCCCGGTGATCTGGTGGACATCTTCATTCTTTCAGACAGCACCGGGGAGTCTGCGAGTGCGTCAGTCCGAACTGCTGCCCAGCAGTTCCAGTACTGCTCGGGTTCGACATGTGCCTCCAGCCGAACGACGGTCTTCCGATTCATTCGGTCTGAATCGGAGATCCGGAAGATCATCGCATCGGCAAAGGCAAAGAAAGCCATGTTGGCCCGGGCCTCGGGAGATCTCGTCACTGTGGAGGGCATGGGGGTATCTTGCAGAGGGCGATATTGGGGCGATATTGCAGGCATTTGCAGGCTATAGGCGTGCTTTGACTCTCAGGTCTACACGGTCATGGATCCCAAGTTGCACGAGGTGGTGGTGCAGGAATGCAAAGCTAGCCAAGTCGAGGGTCGCTGAGACGCAGCTACCCCGCTCCCTCCGACCCGTAAAAGCGGCTCGAGCTGCCCAGTCACCCCTAGTTCCCCAAGTTCGAAAGGGATCCCAACAGGTATTGACCTGTGGGGTCCCCTCCTGGCATCTCTGGAGCAGAGATTCGGTGCTAAGCGAAGTGGCATCTTTGGCCGACACCAGATCGTGACAGATGAGTACATGACAATTGTCAGCTTCTCAGCCCTATGCTTCGCTTGCGTGTCACAGGTCACATGCGACGTTTTTAAAGGTTCTGTAATCTTGGAGACCCCATGCTTAGGTGAAAGCAATCGAGTACACGCGCAAGGTTGACGATGGGGTCTCATGTCGCGGTTTGGCTCTGTCCGTGGTTGGATTCCAGCGCAGGGTGTCACATTTGGGACCGTCAGAGATCTAAGGTTTTGCCCAATCTATGGGATGAGTGCGACATCATGCTTGTTGGCCCATCCCGTGCTGGCAAGACCCCTCTGTCCTTCTACTTGGCCCAGAGAGGGTTCAAGGCCTGCGGTGAGTTTACGGGGCATCCGAACCCCGAAACACCAAAGACACACTGTCAGGTCGCCAACTATCCGCTGATTCCAGATGAGGAGCCGCCCAAGGACCAGCTGGGTGGTCGAAACACAAAGCCAGATTTGTTTCGCAGAGGATAGCTGTCCAGGAGCTGTTCAACATCGACCAGCAGAAGTGTTTTGCGCTACAAATCAAGCCTGAGCGTTTGCAAGAGATTCGCATCTCGGCCGACAGCTGGAACCTTGAAGAAATTTGCCCCGTTCGTTTCTTTTGTGGCACAGGCACCCAGCGAATGAAGCAATTCAACCGCAGGAACACTGACTACGCAAACTTGTGGCTTGTCTGCACGAAGCCTGAGAATGATCGATATGATTGCCGGATGTGCATCCAGGCTAATTACAATGCAATTAATTATAAGCACTGAATCACATTCCCAAGGAACAACATCAAGAAGGAAGTCAGCTGGATAAAGAATTTCTACTTGCATCTGGGACGGACATCTGTCGCGCATCTTGCTTTGCTGCAGGGGTCGTTCGGATTCAACTTGTGCCCCTTTAAGACTGCTCCACTACAGTAGGGACGATGCAGTGACGGTCGGCCACAGCATGCTTTCGTCTTCGACTCTGTCAGTCTCAGGCGACGAGGTCCCAAATGGCCCATCATAGTATCTTGGTCAACATGTGGGTGCTGGGAAGGGGAGCATTGCTGAGTTCGACGAGCTTCTCAGGACACGAGCAATGCAGGTGTTGCAGAGACGGCCGCAAGAATTATGGAGATCCTAGATCGCCGGAAGGTGGGGTCCATCACCAATGACGCGCACACATGCACGCACAAAAACATCCAATATATATATATATATACACATCTAATACGCATGTCTTGATAGCTATAAGTAGATACAGGTTCTCCATAGAGTGAAGACTCACACATAGGTGGACACACAGGTACAAAGGCAGGTTTAGTTGCGGGTATAGGTGTATGCAGTTTCGTCTTCATATGTCTTCATACGGAAGTTATGTAACCTTTAATGGTCTATACCGTGCTGAGTCATGCAGGGTTTTTCTGTCTGTTTGCAATAAGATTCTACATCCACACAGCACATACAAGCGGAGGCACAGAT